TTCCCAGCACAGTGACCAAGTTTCCACTTTTTATAGGATACCTTTTCGAATTTCAACTCCTTGAAAAGATCTCTGTCTAGCTCGGCTGGTCTACTGGTGTACTTCCCATTCTTCTGCCTCGTTGTGATAGATTGCTCCTGTACCCTTAAAAGAGCCTTCTTAAAGTACAGCCAACCCTCCATCTCCTTTTCCTGTGAGACTTGCCTTCCAAGGGATCCTGCCCTCCAGGTCCCCGAGTTGTTGTTTTGCTTTCCTGAAGGCCAAAGTCCTTATACTAGTGTTCTCCCTCCCTCTCCTTAGGATATTGAAATCTATCATTTTGTTATCAGTCACCCACATTACCATTCACCTTCACATTCTCAATCGATTCCGCTGTATTTGTGAGCGATAAGTCAAGAAGGGATTCCCCTTCCTTCTTGGTCTCTCTACCATCTGAATCAACACACTCCAGGAACTTGCTGGACTGCTTGTGCACTACTGTGTTTGCCTCCCAGCAGATGTCCCAATAATTAAAGTCCCTCATGAGAACCAAGTCCTGCAATTTGGAAACTTCTGTCACTTGTTTAAAGAAGGTCTCACCCACCTACTCCTCTTGGCTTGGAGGCCTGTGCTGTATGCCCACCATGACATCCCCTGCTTCTTCTCTTCCCTCTGACCCTGAGGATTGATAAGAGGTATAAAACTTTTAATACAAAGACGGCATACGTAACTTTCTTCCTTCCCATTCCCCATCCAGATTAGTCCAGTTGCTTGGACAAAGACAAATACCACCCATTCCGTATAATTGAATGAGTGCATTTTTATTTTTTGTGACAGGATTTCAGGACACCTACACTTAGTTATTCCTGGAGTACTTAATATATATTTCTACCCTGGAAAGTGAATTTGTTAAAGATCCCAGTGTGGAGTTCTGCTTGCAACAATTTTATACAAAGTCAGAAGTGGTTTATGTCCCAGTTAGACGCGGGAGCGGCGAGAGACGTGCGGGTGAAAGCCTGCTGCGCCCCCGCTCCCCTGAAGCCCCCCAGAGACCCTCCAGCAGCCGCGGAGCCCCCCGCTGACCCCCAGCACAGCCGGAGGTAAGCAGGGCCCGTGGAGAGAGGGGGCTAACCCCTTAGTATGTGTGTGGGAGGAGGCGGCTGAGTGGAGCCGGGCCGGGTCAAGCCCTGCCCAGGCCCCTACTTCGCCCAGCCCCCCAGGGAGCCACGCGAACAGGCTGCGCAAACAGGCGCGCTTCTCTGCCGGCGCGTGAGTTAGCGCGGAGTTCGCACGGAAGGGCCCAGGACCCTGCCAGCGCGCCTCCCAGGGTAGACAGTCCCAGCCATAGCCAGCCCCCAGCGGCATGAACCCGATGACCA